AAGAAAGGAAGAAAGAAAGAAAGGAAGAAAGGAAGAAAGGAAGAAAGGAAGGAAACTGGGCACGGAAGGAACTGATTTAATGAATTAATTAAAGTTTTAAAGTTCTATATCAGAGAAATCTCTTTTTATAACCGTTTACTTTTCCTTGGCTTTGCATTATATATTTCTATGAAAAAAAGGCGAAACATTCCATTTGAAAGTAAGAACCCTGTAAAGTGCTGATTAATTCGTAGCTAGTAGACAACGCGTTACCAAGGAAAACCTTTCAAGTACTATATACACAGCAGATCAATAATTGACGCCTGTACGAACGAACGAATGAATGAATATGCATTCGAACTAATAAGAGTAATTTTACTGCTCTTTGTTCTTAAAAAAGGCCAAGAAACTTTTAAAATTTCATTGGTAAATAGAAACCCTATAAAGTGCTGATTAATTCGTAACAGACATCACGTGACCAAAGAAAACCTTTCAAGTGCCAAGTACGTAAAATAAAAATTGACGGCTGGAACAAAATGAAAATGATTGAATGAATAATTCTTAAGATCTGGAGATAACAAATTATTGATTGAATTAGTCAATGAAACTTATATTGACTCAAACACTTCGCGTCTAGATTAAATCCTTGAAACTTTAAATTTTGTAATTATGCTCTATTAGAGCGCAAACTGGATTAGTAAAATGTATTTTTTTGTAGATGGAAAAGGGGTGTTCTAGAAGGTTCTCTTCTCTGCGGTCTCCTTCGTAAATATTGATGAAATGTAATATAGGTATATATGAATAGTTTTTGGTTTAAGTCATTGGTATTTATAATGAGCCGTCGTGCGTTGTAGGTTGTCGTTGTAGCTCACGCAAGACGAAAAGACCACTCGTAAAAGCGGGTGAAATTCAAGGCGCAACGGGTGTAGCACAGGGACGTTTGGGGATGGAGGAGGGGAGAGGAGAGAAGAGAGGAGACCGAGTCGAGACTCCAAATCCTAGACCTGACTGACTGACTGATTGACTGACTGGAAGTTATTACTGAAAGGTCATATGAATCGAATTTTTTTTAAATTTCATTCTTTTCTGCAAAAATGGTATTTCTAGTTGAAATATTTTAATTAAAACAAAAGATTGCAGGAAGGAAGGAAGGGAGGGAGGGAGGGAGGGAGGGAAGGAAGGAAGGAAGAATCTTAAAATGTTCATGCAGTATTCAGTATAACAGCCTAAAGTAGTTGTGCACACTACAGTAATTCTAGATTCTACTTTAATTCGTTCGGCGCTTGCAAGGGCAAAGGCTCATGGGTAACATGTTTAATTTTCCAAAAAATTGCGCATTCTCTCAAGGTTGCGTGCGCATCCAAATTTAAGGAACTTGACGGGACACGATACCAGAACACGAGTATTATCATACATCGCTATGGATTTTTTTACGATAAGTATTCAAAAACTCGATTATTCTCGCTCTTTAAATATAAAACTGTCTTCTCAATTTTACTAAATTTGCATTTTTCAGTTTTGTGGCCCGTCAAGGTGGATGCGCTCGCAACCTTGAGAAAACGCTCTATTGCCACTTCAAAATCCCATGAACCTTGGATACTTCATGCATGAAAACTCCACGCGTATCCAAGATCAATTTATTACATTCGCTGTCAATTGTATTACAGGTAAAACTGACATGACGTTCATCGCTAATTGTTTACTATATTTTGAAATGACTTCAGATTTCTTGTATTTTTAGATCACAAAATCGTCTCAATGAGTTTATGAATCTGTATTCTTCGTTTTCAGATATATTTGCGCAAGATCAAGGCGAAAGACGACAATCAATCAATTCAAGCCAATTCCACAGTCAAAGCCACAAAAACCATTTACTTCCGGTTTCACAACCACAAAACAATCACTTGGCTTGGATTATCGAGAATGGCCTAGAAATGATGGTAAAACTATGTGAAAAGACTCTAATAACTGGTCTTAGATGTTGACTGGATGTGTAAAAGACGAGATGAGGGTATTTTTTTGTTTGGTTATGGTTTGTGGTATCGTTGGAGCGGTTAACATTGCACAGGTGGATGCAGGTGGGTTTATTGTTTATTGGTATTTTGGGATGATTTTGGAGAGCTAGTCGGTTTTATGAATCCTTTTAGGTATCACTCGTTAATTCCCCGCCCCCCCCCCCCCCCCCTTCCGTTTCTTTTTTCTTTATAAAATTTTTAAAGAATCATTTGGTATGCTTTTAAAGAACTCTCCATTTTACAGAACAATTAAGTTAGACTCGAAGTGTTTTTCATTTTTCGGGCCTCGTGCCTACTAAGTTAACCATTACAACTTTAATAAGCAGGGGCATAGCCAGGATTTTGACTGGGGGGCTAACCCCGTTTTCAGAACATCGGTAAGTCGAACTTATCACGTGACTACATAGATTTTTTTGTTTTCTACAGAGTGAAGATGGAGGGTCGGGCCCCCTTGGGACAGCTGCCCCCCAACATTGTCACTTTGACATCTAATATTTTCTCTTCTAACGTAACAGGACGGATCATAATCCATGCCAGTTCAGAGACCAAGGAGTACTGGGTACCAAGGGAACATGTTACGCTAGGTGTCCAGGATACTGACACTATAGGGTACCTTATAGATCAGCTGTGTTACATTTTTCATCGTTCAAGGAAAATGGCGTCTCATAAGGAAAGCTACCCTTGTAAGAGTCGTTCAATGTCGCTGATGTTGTACAACCCGGACAGCA